CAGCCTCCTGTTATGCTTCTTCACGCTGTAAAGAAATAAGTGGAATTTGCCTCTCTCTACCCAGCTGGCTATTTTTACAAAACTTTCAGGGAGCTGACAAATCATGTACTTCAATCCATGTCAGTATTAAGCTGAAGTAGGCCACTGCAGGAGGCAGTGCAGTGGGCAGGAGAGCATGGACACAAGCACCACAGATAGGGGGGTTGTATAAGCTTTATTACTGTGGAAAACCTGGCAAATAATACTTAACAGATCATTTTTACAGCTGTCCCACATCGCTCTCATAGACTTCAAAGACGTATACTGTAATTGTCTGAGATCGCACTCTTGACTGTTGCATTAAGACCATAAAAGCTTCCCTCTAGATCACAGTCTTATGGAATTGAACCAACATTAAGAGCCTTAGCAGACTTGGCATTTTTTTCCTCTTTATTTACTGCAGGAGAGATCACAGACCTCTTCATGTTACTGCAACTCTTTCCAACATTTTACTCTGCACTTCCTCTACAGATGTCCTTGACCCACCGGTCTCTTTTCATCTGGAAAAGAAAGGAATGTTTTTTTTTTAAAGTACTTAAGGCTTTTCTGAACACAGCTTTATAAAAAAAGACTAGGATCGTCACTTTTTAACATTTTACATATTCCCTCTTGTGTGCTCTTATTTTTTGTGTTTTCACTGAGAGTGTGGAGTATCTGTATTTTTTGTTTTGTTTTGTTTTATTTTACATCCTGTTTCACAGTGCTCTGCAAAATTCTGTTTTGGGAGAAATAAAATGATGGGCCTTCCTCTCACCTCACCTTAACCATGGTTTTCTTGAACCTGCAATTAAAAAAAAGAAGGAAGAGGCTGGATTAAAAAAATGTATATCCCAGTATTACTGGAGCCCATCTTATTCCATATAGCCATTCTAGGCTAGAAACACAGAAATTCAACGTGTAAATGGCCAAGCTCTCTGTGACTGTACATACTGTTGCAGCCCCCAGGACTCTGCCAGTTTACAACAGAACTGGGATGCAACCCATATCTTCATTCGCTTGCATTCTGCAGCTATTTTACCATCACTAATTCAGATAATAGCTAGGGATTTTGTAATCACTTGCAGAATTAACTCTACCCTAAGTACTCCTTGCCTAGCAGTTCTTTAAATAGATGCAGAATACTGATACAGGAATATTATAATTGGAATTCTTCCTGAGATACAGTTGAGATAAAATGAATGCAAACAATTAGATTACTAATATCTTAAGCAGCTGTTACCTAGGAGCTAAAAAAGTAGTTTATTTACCTTTTTAAAAAAAGTCTTTATTTTTAATAAGTTACATGTTCATACAATTTCCAGTGGAAATTATTATTATTATGGAAAACAGCACCCTTCATTTATCTGCCAAAAAGAGACACTACAGAATAACACATTTCTGAGAAGAATCACCTCATGTTGTCCAAAATTCATTCATTACGTCTTCTCTGCAGTGTCAGTGTCTTAAACAGTACATTCTGAAAATGGATACATCCATTCCTTTCGTAGTACTCAGATGCGTTGCTGTTTCAGCAGCGGTTAGCGTGATCTATTGACTGTCAGTCGACAATGATTGCTAGATCTGGCTGTACTGTGAACTTCAGAGAAAGATGACAAATGTGAAATTTTGCATCAGCTATGGGCTTGGGGGATTTATGTCTGTTTGCTTTAATCCATGAAGTACAGATTTAACCCTGGTAAACAGCAGTGACTGAAATTATGAATGAAAAATAAAATTAGCTTACTGGGGCATTCGTTATGATTCTCAGTTACAGTTGTGAAAATACTGACTAGTGTGACTGATCTCAGGACAATTGCTTTAGATTTATGTAATTGTTGGCAAAATGACATTCTGGCTTTCTGTGTGAGCATAAATTCAAGAGTATGAAAATTGTTGTTTTAAATTAACATTTAGAATCTAAACCAAATAAATAGATTTCTTGTCCTGTTAAGTGACCTGAAGACAGCTATAAATAAATATCTTATATTTTGTATTGTATTTTGTTAATATTCCAAGCTAGGATCTTCACGGGGAAAAGTAGGGGAACGCCCAAGCCCTGCTCTAATGTCCAGTTTTCTGGACATTTTCAGTCAAGTTCTTTGCAGCCAAAGGAGTTCCTAAGAACAAATCTGTATTTGCTGACACATCATAACACCATTTTTGTATATCTGATAAGAACGGTATTTTATAAAACAGCAAATGGCTGGATGGAAGGCAGCTTCAGGCCTGAAAAACTTGGCTTATACTATAATTTAAGAAACCCAATCAGTTTATGAAAGAGAAAGACATGAAATAATTCTGCTTTGTACCAGCATGAGGGAAAATGTCTCATGGCAAGGTCTTCTGGAAAGGTCTTTTCAAAAACTCTGGAGCTATTCGCTGGAAGTGGAAGCAAGACTCATTTACATGCAGCTGTGTATCTGTGGTTAATTACCAGAACAATTTACTCCAAAACATGGCAGATTCTGTTACTGCACACCTTTACACCAGAATGGATATCTTTCTAAAAGGTGTGCTGAATGTCAACAAGAAGCTGTGGCTCCATTGCAGCAGTAATGGATGATTTCTATAACCCATGTTATACATGAGGACAAGCAGTGTAACAGCCACAGCCCCTTCTGAGCTTAAACAATAATGGTGTCATTTAACGTATTATGAATTTCATGTTTTGACAGGAAAGATGAGATTTCTGTTGAATAGCTAAGATGCAATAAAATGAAAATGCTGTGTAGTTTTCATTCAGGTTTAAGAGAGTACAGCTTTTCAGTACATGATATAAAACAGATTGTATGAATCCACTCTCCTTTCCCCCTGAAATAAAATGAAATGAGGAGGAGGAAGTAACAAAGAATTATCGTGATGTTCTGTGTGTATCACCAGTTTGACATATATAGTAGTCTGATTACAAAATTTTTCTCTTTTAAAGAACCATTTTCCTGAAGCATTTTGAATGCTGCCAAAATATTTAATGCACACTTACATATTACTCTGCAGGCAGTTTTTACAGAATAATAGTGTTTAATTACTTTAAAAATAATTTAAAATGCATTACTTAAGTGGTAATTTAAAATGTTCATGACAAGAGGCTCTGCAGTAGGACATAGAAATAAAGCATTTCACCTTAAGAATACATTAACCCAGTGTATGTAACTTTATCATTTGCCATTAGTTGCAAAAAAAATTTCATGAGCTCCTTACAATGTGTTCCATTTATGGTAGTCCTATGTGATGAAGTGATGAGTTACTAATACCATTCTCCTTGGAAGAGTATTATCAATGGTTTTGAAAATGATGTCATCATCAATTATGGATCACAAAAATGGATTACAAAATTATCATGTATTATGGAAAATGTATATTCTTTATTAGTGCTTTATCTAGCAAGTATTAAAAGTGGAGGGCCTGAGATTAAGTCCATTCCGTTCACTTTCAATCTCATGAGATTCATGCTGCTCTCAGTGAGGAGCAATTCCACTGAGATCTGTGAAGATACATCAGTTGGGATATTGCTAGGAATAGTTACAAACAGGATTAAGCTGATACATACTTTTCCTGCTTTTCATTCAATGCTTTCTTTTCTGCTGTGTCCCTCACTTTGATTTTCCTGTTTGCATTAATGCCCCTTGATGCAGAGAAGGTCAAGTGAAGTGGAAATATGACTATGTTTAAATGTGGAAATTTAAAAAGTGGAAATGTGACTATGTTTAAATACATATACACACAAGCACACGCACACACGCACACGCGCGCACACACACACGCACACACACACACACACACACATACACACACGCATAGACAGAATTGTTAATACATATACAAAAAAAATTGTATTCCTATTCTTTTTTACTATGTTTAACATATGAGGTTCTGTCAAGGCTAATACAACAAACAGAGCCTGGTGCTTTGGTATCCCCTCTGCAGCCCAGAAAGTGAAACATATGATCAACAAATGCCTAATAGGCTGATAAAATTCGACATCCTTCAACAGTAAGATGCTCATTTATTATTATGCTGTATATCTCAGCACAAAGATTTGTGATGAGTTTCTGGAGAGGGTGCATACAGTGAATGAGAACTTGTCTTCAGATCTCTTCTTGTCTTCTTTTTTTTACAAGTTATTCTGAAAGCAATTTCTGGAATGTTTAAGGCATGTTCACCGCCTAAATGATAAGGAATGCAGAACTTAGAGCTAGTTTGAGTCCTGTACGTTGCTACTCAAGGCCTACAAAGTCACATGGCTATGCTGTCACTGCCATCACAAAAATAAAGATCCAGATCCTTTGCTGTGGTATGCCTAGCGTGGACTGCAATGCATAGGGCTAAGAAAAGGCGGTTGCCTGGCTTGACAGTGAATAGCATAATCTTAAAATACACGTAGAAAAGCTCTTGAGATCAAGAAAACCTGTAGCTCAGGCAATAATGTAACTGTGATTCCTGTTGCAAATGTGCCATACTACAGAACTGCAGAGCTGTTAAAAAGCTTGCAGAAAATGGGTTAGTGGCAGCGCAGCTAGGGATCTTGTAATGTTGGTGCAAGTTCTGGCTTTGATTAACAGCTTTCATTGGGCTGCTGTAAAATAGTCTGAACGCTACAGTGGCTGTTCTTTGCTTGGTCTTGATGGTGTCCCTGCCATGAGGATCAAGCGCGTCTTTTAGTACAAGGATGTCCATTTTTACTATATGACCACACTGCAAAACATGAAAATACCTAACTTTCACAGGGAAAGTATTGTACATTGCATGCATTGAACGTAGGTTTTATCTGCTCAGCATCCCATTCCAACTAGAAAAGTGATCCTCCGACATTCATAAATAATCAGTTTGCAGAAAAGTATAGGCTTTAAATCTCCGCGTCTGTATTACTCATTTAACACTGTATGTTTTTTGTTATTGGAATAACACCTCTATTTTTACGGTACGTCAGTACTGTTGGGATGTCTTGTCTAACCATGACACTTGCTTCGTTTTGTGATCCGCAGATAATATGGAGCCTCAATCACATGGATTGTCTGTGATTAATAGAAAGTAATGAAGCTACTCCTCTTACTTTAAAAAAATCTTCTACGTGGGAAGCAAGTGAAAGATCTCTAGAGTCACAAACTTAGGTCTGACTGTAGGATACCCAAAAGAGAGCAAACCAAGTATGTATGTGACAACCTAGTTCCAAATTTTGGAGTATATTCCTTCTCATCCCCTTTCTCCCTTCACCCACCCAAACAGCATTCTGGAAACTCCATGAAAATGCTGTAAACAGAATACTGAGGTCATAAAGTCCAGCATCCTACAGATCGAGAAGGATAAAAGGAGACATCTAAGCTCATATATATATAAGGTATATTCTTCAGTACTGTCTATATGCCATTTATCAAATGATTCATATCATCTTACCTGCATGTTATCAGACAAAATCTCTTAGTGGTTTTCCTTTCTAAGAGAAGAAAATATTAACTGGCAATTGCGAATTTGTGATAGAGTTCACCAGTCTCCAAGCACTATGCTCTACCTTAGCTTCTCGTAGAGAATCTGTATTCTCTACCACAGAAAATGCATGAGCAGTCTAACTACCCAGTTTGTTATTACTCACTGTAGCAGATCAGAACTTTAAAAACAGTAACTGTTAATTGTGTGTGTAAATGAGGTAAGTGGAAGAGCAAATGATCACAGTTTACTCTTTCTATTTGTAGAGGAAGCTTTTTGCATGCAATCATGCCTATTGCCCGTCGTACTCTGAACACGACAGAAAAATCAGACTCTGTATGTCAAAATGTTGCAGACATATTACTACTGAAGCTCTTGCAGACCTTGTAATGTATTTAGATATGACTCAGAGATTAATTATGTGTTAGGCTCCTTTAGTGACTACAGTCTTAGTAACACTCTTGGTGAAGATTCAACTTACTATTAGCCACAGAGATGAAGAAAAGAAACGCAAACCTAAACCTTTAAGGCACATATTACCCGGGATTCACCACCACAGCTGCTCACCAGAAGTGCACAGATGAAAACAGTCCTCTAATGTAAATGTGAAACTTATTCACCACAAGTATCTGCAAACTTAACAATGTTGGATGCAGACATAAAAAAAAAAAAAAGCAGCCATTTTTATTGTATCATCCTGGGGTGTTTTCCTCTCTCTGTACATACTAGTTTTTATCTGTACATACTATTCTCAAGGCAGTCCTCAGAGTTCAGCTAACAGTTTAATTACATTTTTCCCCAGTTACTCCCACTCATTGATCTGCCGCTAAAGTTGGAATGAGTTTATGTTGCTGCCCAAAACATTTCTCTTGATAATTCCCCTTCTCCTGTTCAAAGTTGAATTGTGTTTTAAGTATTGCTTGCCTGCTGTGACTGCTGACAGGGAAGCAAAATCTAGACATTGTCTTGAGAGTGTTACCCAAGGCACAGTATCTTTCATATTAGATGCCAAATTAATAACTGAGGTAATCAGTATGAGTCCTCATTTTCTTCTGAACACCTTTACTAAAATACGTGGACACATTTTAAAATATGTATCTTTTAGTGACGTATAGATTTTCATTAACATAATGCAAAATATCAGGAGGCCACACAGAATGGCCTTTGGGATAAAACGATGGACTTTTACGAAGAGCTTGTGGAAGTTTGATTCTCAGCATAGATGTATCTTCCCAGTGTTTGTACAGATGAATCAGGGAAAGGAAATCCCCTGGGAATATCTTATAGTAGGTGTATAAATAAATAAGCAAATGCTGGGAATCTTTATTCTTCAATATGGAAATGAACACCTCGCTCTGTTTGCCCTGGTGCATAAATGGGGGGCAGAACACAAATAATACTGTTAAAAGGTGTATTTTATGTCCTCTCACTTCAAACACTAATGCAGAATTGCTTTGGAAAGACTGCTCTGATCTGAGGTATAAGTCTCAAATGGTCCAAACACATGTTTTAATTTGTATGTGTTCTTGCCTATATGCCCTCCTGACTCAGTTATACAGACATGACATTATAGTGTTTTTACTTGGCATTCCTACTTTACATCAGGCCTTCATTTTCTGAACCTGGCACAAAGCTGTGAATTCATAAGCGTGGTCTAACTCACTGAATGATATCTTATCTGAACAAAAGAATCCAATATCTCTCACTCCTTAGTTTCTGAACGACAAGGATATTCGGCTGAAAGTGCTGTGGTCTCGATAACACTTAATTAGGGCATCTCTGTTCACATGTCGCACATGCTGTTGCCTTCCTCCTGTATACTGCTAATACGCTTTGCGTGAGTGTGTTTGTCTATTTCCCACGTATATATATCACTTGCATATTTTCATACTTAAACTTGACATTTTGGCATGGATATGACTGCCATTCCCTCAATTATACTAGTAGTTATTGACCTTACACTTTCTACTGTGCATTATAATATTCGTACTGCAGAGTTTGCCTGGCTATGAGTCTTGAACTACTATAACATAATCAGACTGTTGAAAGAAGAGAAAATTAATCAATGTTGACTTTTCATACTGATCTTATAAAAGAAATTTCTAATTATGGGGGTTTATAAGTTGCTAATGGCCATAATGTTCTTTTGATTATATTAGTCATTTTATTATCTATTACGTACTACCTGTTACATTCTCCTGTATTATCTAATTTCTACATACATATGTATCCATTATTTTAGTGAGAACATTTGCTACCTGGTTTGTTTTTTACAGCTTCCTGTAGAAATGTAAGAAAAGTAATTCTGCAATCTTGTATGATTGGAGAGGCTGCATGGCGTATCAGGAAATCTTTTTATAAGAGAGCAATTTTCACGTATATCTAAAAGAGAGAATACATTTCCTGAAGATATTTGGTTAATAAATTCAGAATAAATGAGTAGACAATATAGGTAAATAAAATATGTAAAAGCTTATATAATTTATGGATGCAAGTTTTGATACTTTGCATTCATTTTCACTTTAATTAAATAAGAATTAATTATGCATTGTTCTAGCCACTAAATTATTCCAACAAATTGTTGTGCATTAGGGACACCATGTTAGCAGCAAGGATGAATAGATTTGGATCCTTCTTTCCCAGGGCATCCTCAAGAAAACGGAAGCAAATGTAATGTGAACGCTGAAAGAAATGAGCATTCTTCAGCCTTACAATGCTGTATCTATTTATCATCTCATTTATTACCGTGCCATCAAGTGTTTTTGGTCTGCTGTCCATAGAGTTTCTATTTCCATTGTTTATTAATATGTAATATATTCAGCAATTATCCTGCCTTATTTCATGAGTAATTAAATGTTTCTTGTTTGGCCAAGAAATAACAATACAGTAAAAATCTCAATTTGCTTCCTCTCAGCTACTCATGACAGATACCCCTTTCTCCGGCTGTTAATTGCACTAAATATTCATTGATAGTTTCAGCGAACACAATTATAGAAAATGATGCATACTTTTTGAAAAATTCTGATGGAAGGAGAGACTGTAGTTTTTACTTGCTGCAACTGTCTTCTGAATGAAGTAAACATATTACTGCAGGGTTGATGTGTGAGATTGGTTTGGGCTTTGGTTTTGTTTTCTGTGTGGAAGAACTGTCCACTAAATATGAAAGAAAAGCACCGCTGTTTTCTTCAATGTAGAGTGTATCATCATTATTCTTTACTTACTGGAAGGTGCACTACAGCACATTCTAGGATCATCTAATCTGTTACACTTGCAATCCTTAGCAGTAATATAGTTAAAGTAAAATGAAGCTATGTACTAGCTAATCTGATGGTCCTTTATCGCAGCTGACACACGATAAAAAAAAAAATTCATGATCAGTATCTGGATAAATGTTTTCAACATTGTTGCGCAGAGAAACTCTCATAAAGTATACAGCAGCCTAAGAATAAGGAATAAACACTCTCCTCTGCCTTTCAATTTCTGCCCTGTTTTGAAGCCTTTATCTACATTCCTTTTCATTACGCAGGTCAGTTGCTGCCTTTTCCTTCAGGTTTGCTTCTTCCATCGCTCTGAGGTCTTCACTGTTTCCTTTTTTTCCCTCCACTTTTCAATGTGCTGCTTCTGCAAAGCTTTATCCCCTATTCTTTTTGTTGTAGCTCTGTGATCTTTCACGTTGACAAGCATATCTGTGTATTTCTCTGTATCCTTTTATCTGATCCCTTTGGGGCAGAGCCTCCTACCTATTTTCTGCTTTTTTCTCTAGTACTTCCTCAGGAAAGATTCATTGACAGCTCAGACTCAAAATGGGTGTAGAACTGAATGTTATCTTTTCTCCTCAACATTTCCACCATCCTACTTGCCATCCGAGCTCATAGAGCTGTGCTTAGCCAAGCTTGTTACATCTTCCTCCACAATTTATGGAAAGTCTGGCCCTTTCTTGCTCTGCAGACAGCTGTCACTTTTCATAGGCTTTTTCACTTTTTAAGACTTCTTGCCAATCCTCCTTAACATCCATATTGCCTTTTCCTCCAGTCCATCCAAAACACAACTAGTAACATTGTGCTCTTGTCAGTCAAACCACACTCACATCTTCTAAGTCCCCCATCTTTATATTCAAGATTCTCCACACACTTCTGTTCCAGCTTATAAATCAAATCAAGTTTTGTATTTCTTCATCCCTGCCACTCTGCTCCAACCAAATATTAAGACCATATATTCTTAATTATTCTGTGCCCTCTCCTGTGCCTGTCATTACTTCACTCTCTGAGAACTGTCGGTCCTTTTAATTCTTTGTCCATTCTCTTTCTCTGCAGTAAGCAAAGGTGAAAAAAGCTTAGCCATATAGCCAAGGAAAAATTGAAACTAAATCACTGGTGCTGGGGATGTCCCACTTAACCCTGCCTTCTCTGTGTCCTTCTCATATGTTTAGGGCAAGGTTTTATTATTTTTATCTTACATGGCACGCTAGTCTATTATTAGCCCTAAGATAATTTATTAATCATCTTGAGGACTGCTGCAAGATTGTAAATGGATTTAAACAAAAATTAGCTGCCTGAAGCCTTGGTTCCATTAAGAGTAAAAAATATTCATAGATACTGGAGAGTGGAGATAGTTGTTTGATCATTATAGCCATAAGTAGAATTACTCTTGACAGGATATCCTTAGTCGAGTCACATTTTCAATGACTCAAGTAATAGATCTACTACTACATCCCTTGGGATGCCTCTCTAATGCACAGTCTAATAGATCACATTTAGAAAGTTGATAAGGATGTAACGCGTTATTTAGAACTGCCAGAGACTGTCACTGCAATATAGTTGACAAGGCCTGCCCTCCGAATATATTATTTTTTGTGCTTTTAAAAGTACCTTAGGCCATCTTCAGGTAATCCAATGGGTTCATCTGATCTGAATATTTCTAGTGCCTTTTGCTGTATTTTGAAAAGTCATTTTTGGGGGGAACCCAGGGTCTCCTGAGAATGAACATTTTCTGCATTGCAGGGATCCAGGGAACGGGAGTGAAATGCAGGACACCCGCACGAGCTTTGAAACATATTGAAAAAACTCCTCTTTAGCTCACCAGAGATTCAGAAGAAAATATAAAATATGTTCTGATGAAATGCGGAGCAGGCTTTCCCAGCCTGGCATCAACTAAATGCTATTTTAGCAGACTATTCATTGTTGCCAATTTGCCAGTAGGTACAATGTCTAAAACCTGTTAAAACAGGAACTTTATCTGAGAGAATATTGGAGGAATATAGTGGAAAACTGGTTGCTATGCATGTCTGCTGATACTCCAGTGACATTTCAGGAAGTACAACATGTGATTAGCCATGCTGGGAGCAAATGAAGTCACCAAGTGACTCCCGTTTCAGTTGCGCACAGAACAGGACTCCCTCTACAGTACAGAGTCCACTGTTTCATCACCCTCTGCCCATCACGAGCTGAGATGGCACCATGATAACATTTTGCGACATTTGGAACCCTGTAATTTATGCATTAGTAGCTTAAAGATTCCAATAACGGTTGTGTCCAGCCCTTTGCTAGTGGCGAGAGCTGAAATGAGGAGATCTAGCTTCAAACAGTGGTTATTAATTATATCGCTTGTGAGGAAGGAAGATTCCCATTTCAAATTGCAATCAACAGCCTATAACATTGTGAGTCACTTCAGGGCCAAATAACTGCAATCAGGTAGTAAGTGTTGAAATCCCTTACACTGTTAAAGCAATGTCCAAGTTTTGCCTATACCAATTTCCCCAATGGTAGAGAGAGCAGGAATACTCAGACACTGCTTAGTACCGTGAAAATTTAAGGAAAATAAATCCAAGCCATGCATTATCAGTCAGATTTTTTTTATGAATAGGAGCAAATCAAAAAGTAAATGCAACAACTCCAAATATACGGATTATTAAACAGATAGTTTGGCTTCATTTTGATAAAATTAGTGAAATGTATTATTATTTTATTATTAAAATTGAAAAAAGCTTACAAAAATAATGTTTCTCTATTGTACAGAGGTACTTACTAGGCAGACAAAATATAGCTGAAGTAAAAATGCACTTGAATCATGAAAAAATGTGCATTAACACCAGAGGAAAGTTTCCCATTGATTACACCATGCTTTGTGTTTGGCCAAAAGTAACCCAGAAAGCGCTCCATTAAGGACATGATCTTTTTCGACACATTTATTTGGTCCTGGAAACATGCAGATGAGCAATTCAGACCCCCTGTGAGGCCCCTGTTTTCAGGAATGAGGTTTTAGAATTAGGTAGCGATATTCATATTGCTGTGGAGTAGTGAACAGTGGTGAGTTTCATATCAGAAAATGTTCTCATATCTGTTTTCCAGCTGGTTGAACAAGTTCATTTTTCTTGTATCTTGTTTAGGTATCTCCAAATATCTCCATGTATGGCCGTGGGAAAGATTAAGTAATAAAAAGAATCAGAAAAGTTTTATTCTGATGATTTTTATAATAAAAGGCAGTGAATACTAACAATGCACGTGCTGGTTATTCTCAAAGCTTAAATATCTTACAGCTTCTGTTGTATTTCATTTTTTTAGGCCTTTCTCTGAGATCTGCCCGTTGCATAGCCATACGTATTAGATGACTTTGGGACTTGCTTTCCATCAACAATGAAGGGATTATCTAGCAGCCGTAGTCATCATCATGGGGTTACCTGTGACCCTCCGTGTGACAGTCTGCCACGTCACCCAGACCGGAAGCCATATTTGTTAAATCCAGTGGACCCTCACCCGGCAGATCACCCTTACTACACTCAAAGGAACTCTTTTCAGGCAGAATGCATGGTGCCCTACAGTGATCAGATTGCTAGCAGCACTTTTCCTCGGAGACATTACAATTCTCACCATGAACTTAAAGACGAGTGCACTCTTGTTCCCCATGGAACTGCCAATAAAACTAACCGCATTCATGCCAACCTTTTGGACCAGTTTGAACGGCAGTTGCCTCTCAATCGCGATGGCTACCATACGCTGCAGTACAAGCGGACTGCCATGGAGCACCGCAGTGACAGCCCGGGGAGGATCCGGCATTTGGTTCATTCTGTCCAAAAGCTCTTTACCAAGTCCCATTCGCTCGAGGGACCCTCCAAGGGCAGTGTCAACGGGAGCAAAGCGAGCCCAGAGGAGTCACAGACCATGAGGTATGGGAAGCGTAGCAAGAGTAAAGAAAGGCGATCAGAAGGTAAGCCCAGATCCAATGCCTCAGGATGGTGGAGTTCAGATGACAACTTGGACAATGATGTTTGCATTTATCATGGCCCCAGTGGTGTCATGACCATGGGAAGATGCCCTGATCGTTCTTCTTCCCAATACTTTATGGAAGCCTATAACACTATTAGTGAACATACTGTGAAGTCATCCAGAAGCAATAATGATGTCAAATGCTCTACCTGTGCAAACCTGCCTGTGAATTTGGACTCCCAGCTAATGAAGAAAAGCTCTTGGTCCTCTACACTAACCGTGAGCAGAGCCCGTGAAGTTTACCAGAAAGCATCAGTTAACATGGACCAGACAGTGGTGAAGGCAGAGACGTGTCAACAGGAACGGTCATGTCAGTACCTTCAGGTACAGTGTGGAGAACTGATTGCTGTTAACTGTGCTCTGCCTTGTTGCAGGCGTTTGTGGGGGATGGAGGTTTGCTCTGGTATTTCATTTTTCCCGAGAGGTCACTGAGCACAAAATACCGGATAATGTAGCTGAAATTAAAAATAAATCTACTTTTTTTTTTTTTGCCAGCATTCAGTATTTCAAAGAAACAGTTCGTACTGGAATAGGCTTAATTTTTTCATGTGGGAAAAATAAGACCTTTCTATGTACTTTTTGAATTTATAAGGCATTCACAGTAGGGGTATAGAGAATTTGATGTTGTAGTGCTTGTAGTTAGCATTACAATGTCAATTAACAGAATGTTACCAGGATACAAATTCTTTGATTTCTGTAATTTCGGGATTTGCCTTCGTTTACTGCTTATTTTATTATGAAAGCTTTTGAGACCCTTTTGAGAAACTTTGAGGTACCTTAGTACTTTCTGCAGCAGGAAAACAACCTACTTTCCTTTTTGCCATAGAATATAAATTCTCATAAAATAGTTATTGTAAAGTGTCCAGATTTGTTTCTCTGGCTATTCCTCTTTCTCATGGCTTTGATTCAAAAATATAAAATCGAAAGGTTGAAATTATTGCTTGTTCTGATTATACATTTTAGGAGTACATCACCTACTCCCTCACAAGCTGTTTGCAGTTAATACAGCGTCACTATTTTTCACCAGTATTGTATCTTTAAATGTCAAGAATCAGATGTCTGCTCTTGGAGCTATCATACCGCCGGTGAATGTTTGTGGCAGGAACATGGATCAGAAAATATTAAAACTGTTTCATTCTTAGGAGAGCTGTGGATAGCTTTTATGCACTTTAAACGAAGCACTTATGGCACATCTAAGTGTATGTGTAAGATGGAACAACGTTGCACAGAGAAGAGAGAAGACCATGAGGAAAAAAGAGGTTTGCTAAGACAATTTGGTTTCATTTTAATATAGAGGGACTCTTGTCTAGTCATATAGCAATTGTAACGAGTTTTCTCATATGGGTACTTTAATGAGACATTCAGCTTCCACATTCTGTTGTTTAAGTCAGTACTCAGGGAAAGCATAGGACTGAGGTGTCCACTTTTAAATTTTGATCTTAAAAGGAATTATTGAATGGCATGCAGAATAATTTCGAATGCTAGCCTCTGGGATTCTAAGTTTTAAATGTGAAAAAGGGATGTCTGCATTTTAGAGTACTTGTTAGGAGTGCGGAGAGGAGACAGCATGAAAGCTCGGTGTGTGTTTACAGCTGTGCATATGGACTGGGGAGGGACAGAGTCTTTAAAATAGCCAAAGGTTACAACCTTTTGAGACTGGTTGTATTAAGTTGCTGTGGTCTGAATTTTCTGAGTCAGAAGAAATTGTAATTTTGGACTTGATTGTTGCGGTTACTTTGGACCTTGAGATTTCTTTTGTTTATGTTTTTGTTTACTCCTTCAATCTTCCATTCCGGTTTCAATAAAATAGCTAACAATTCAGTATCGAACCAGATGGCTAGAAAAGAGTGAAAAACTGTGCCAGCATCAGCTTTAAACGAACACCTCCATAGGGACTTTTAGATAATGTTTAACTGACAGGAATAGATTCCTGAAGTGGAATTAGAGGACATTATCTGTGTCTTTATGCAAATATGTCCAACAATTGTCAAGGGCAGGAATTACACTAACTAAATTCAGACTGTGTTTCCCATCCTGTTTATGTCCTCAGTGGTGGTTTTAGTTTGTTTTCTGTTTCATTTCATTTTTTTCTAATTGTATGCCTGTTTGTAAAAGTCAGAGAAATGTAACTTTTGGGTTGAAATTGTTAAAGTACAGAAAAAAATCTTAATCAGGCTTTGATTAACATCGCAAAGAATATTCAGATAGCTAAATAGGGGGGGCAGATTTAAGGGAGCGGGTTGGGATTACTCTTCCCTCTTGGCAGCTTGAAAAGATAACAAATAGATACAGATATTAAAAGTGTCTCTTTAATTTGAATGCATCCCACTGCCTTTCCCTTCACTGTACCACTCTTCTTTTTACACTGCAAGCCCTTTGGGGCATGGACTTCTTTTCCTTTTGTGTTTCCACAGTGCCCACACCACGGGGCCCAGAATGTATTTGAGGCCTTTTGGCCATCCCGCAGTATAAATATATATTGGCAACAGCAGAGTATCTCTCTGGTAGTAGGCTGCAGAGATATTCCAAATATCTGCTATTTTTCTGGTGACCTTTTGATCATTGTACCAAAAGGCTGGTGTCCTATATTCTTAGGACAACTAGAAATGAACTAAATGAGATAAAAGCTACTTAGCCATAAATTTATGACAGTACTAGATAACTCTGAAAATGATTTTAATTAATATGATGTTTCTTCTTTGCTTTATGTAAGTCATTAAATGTGGAATAGGTGTTCTTATCAACTCACTTGTAATTTAAGCTATTGTTATGGCCCAGGACATAAACTCTGTGATCCTTGAACGAGTGAACTATTTTGTTCATGCAAACGGTTCTTGGTATAGTATCTGAATACAAGGAATGAGTGACTTGTTTTCAGCTCAGTATACAAGAAAATTTTCTTTATCCTGCCAGCTCTGAGTATATCAGAGATCACAGATGAAATTCAGTTCATATTTGCTTCTAACGGCTTCTATCACACAAGTCTCTGGATGAATTCTCAGTGTAAAGACTTGGAAATAACAAACAATTATCTCACTTGGTGTGATATTTTTCACATAATCATTCTGTGGAAGGAGCTGGCAGTAGTTCCTGTTACAGATGGGCTAATTTCTCATAATTTGGAATTTGGATCATGTGCAGAGTCCTTCTGCATTGTGCAATCTTTCCTTATCCCAGTGGACTCCATTTCCATCCTGTGTACAGAGGTGCAGTGTCCATCTTTGCAGTTTCAAGAGAAGGAGTAACTAGGAAGCCTTGACCCAGCTTCATATGTCTTTTGAAGTAGATATAAACTCCTGGAATAGTTAAAAGACTGTTAAACAAAGCCTTCCCTCACCTGCATTTCTGAACTGGAATTGTTTTAACTCTCTTCTATTTCTTCTGTCAAGAATGAGGGACTGAATAGTATTGACCAATAAAGCTTCATATTATTTTATATATTTTAGAAAGGAGGGAAGGAGGCATTGGTGTTAAGAAGTAAGGTAAAGTGCTTGTTTGAGCTAATTCTTGCTTCAGGAAAATACTTTAAATTGATCAAAATTTACAGTTGGACTAATTTGAAGGAAGGTGGGAGGGAACTGTTCCTGTTTTCTCTAAAATTTTCTTTAAAAATAGCTTCCCATTTCTTGAGAGAATAATTTTTAAAGCAGTGGACAGCCTCCACTTCTCTATCAGCTTCTCCTTCAGAATTTTTAAAATTAAGCAAAACTATCCAAGATGAAATGTAAGCAGCAGGATTTTTTCTGAGAACAATAGGGTCTAAATACACAGGTAGTTTTGCCCGTCTTGTTACCAATGAATTCATGACTGTTTAAGCTAATAGCGTATGTAATACACGACACAGTTTGTATCTAATTATGGTTTTGGTGTTCAATATTCCCTGTAATTACTATTCCCATAGGCCTTGGTCCGTTTGTTAAGAGAGAGAAAAATACAGGCATGATATTTTTCATATTGTTCCTCTTTTCTTTTAATGTGGGTCAGTCAGATGTTTTCTTTTGACCCTGTTGGATGAGACTGAAATCAGTTGTTTCAGATACTCGCGGCTAAGGAAAGAAGTTCACTTCCAGCAAGTGCAGTGCTGTAGGTGAGGAAGCCTGTGCAGTCACCAGAGCTCTGTGCTGCAGTCAATCGTCTTTTGGTGGGAGACCATGGGATATACTATTAAAACTGTGAGCAGTTTTTGCATGTGATAAACATTTCCTGGTTTATCACAGACTGGATCTGCTAGCAAAGGGTTGTGGCCGTGCTCAGTGCCCTACGTGAAGGTTGTCTGTAACGTGCGGTCAGTGTTTTAGTGTTAAGAAACTCATAAAGTGACATGCTCCCCAGCTTTAGGACAAGGCACTTCCCTAGTTTCCCAGGAGTTACCACTCATTCATTGCAAGCGCCTTTCTCTTGCCCATGTCCATGGATGGCCAAATAGAGGGTGTGACTTCCCCCTAAATAGTCTCGGTGATAGTCAGGATCATGATCTGTCATTTGATTTGTTGACTGTATATTAAACCAAGTATACCAAGCAAATCAGGTAAAATGCTTACTCTTATGACATAGCAATTTATCCTAGGTCTGTTGTACTGGACTTAGGCGTGCATTTTCAGTTATTTTCTACTTTTTTCTCATTTGTATTGTTTGCATTTCTGTCACAAGTACCATATTCAAATTAATGTTTCAGTTATGTCCTTGTATATACGTGGAAGTTGTGTTTTAATCTTCATAATACTGAGCTATTTTCAGTTGTAAAAATTGCTGTGGGATGGGGAACATGGATCATTAGTAAAGTCATGGAATTTGGGACCTACTGGAGATTATAAATAAAGCAAACATAGCTTATTTACAAAAATATATGAATAGCAAATAATTCAGCTGAGTCTACATCTTGTTTATTTAGCCTACCTGCAAACCTATCCAAGATGCCTTTGTTGTATTAGGAGAAAAAGTAGGAGAACCTAGCAATATAGCCCTCACTCTCACCCTTGCAATCCTTTAATTTGCCTAAAAAATATTTTGTCAGCTGAATTATTATTGTTGATGAGAATGATCTTGCTACGTATCTCACCTTAACAACTGCTGTGTTCTCATTCACTTAATTAAAGCCTGGACAGACCTTTGGTGTCTGAATACCACAGAAATGGAGGCCAACTAAGTACTAAGAGAGCTGGTCTATGGCAATGACAATACTTCAAATGTAGCTGAATTTAATCAGCCACTGTGCCTTAGTTTGTTGTTTTCTATCCTGTGGTTTTACCAGCATTCTGTGCCTTCTTAGGACTGAATGTTGTAGCACTAATGTAATTTTTTCTAGATTAACTTGAAGAGTTACT